AAAATTTCTTAGATTGCTTCCTGTCCTTTACAAAGCCACTTTATCTTATCATTGACCGATCGATGTACACTATCATCGTAAGAGATTCAGTTACTGGTGTGCTTTGTGTATATTGCATATCTCTGTGCTAATTTATCAGTTGGATACCATTTCATTTCCATCTTCCTTCCCCAATGATCAACTACTTTCTGTTCTGATAGTAAAAGAAAATATGTTAGAAAATACTAATGTGCAGATAAAAATAGCCTCGAAATCCCGGATCATTGACTGATGGGCGCAAGATTGTTCATGATTTTTCTTGCAAAGTCTCTCTGACCTTGTTTGCCCACAATGGTTGTCACATGTGTCTGTGTTCGGTTCTCTTTTCCTGTTTTCCAACATTTTATCCTCTTCTATCAGCATCTCATCATCCCTTTCCCCCATGATTAAGTACTGCATAGGCTGCATTACTTTTGAATTACGTCCTTCTTCCCCTGTCGAGATCACTGCCATTGAAGCTTGTGCAGGCTATGTCTAGCAATGTTGCTGAGGCATTGGACAAAAGAGAGGGAGGTGTGCTTCTACTGCTTGATTCAGACTGACCGGTCTTTCCTTAATTAATCCCTCAACCCTACCAATTTGTGTTAGATTGACTAGCCGCCATGTTGTTACTGTTGAATTGATTTTGGAGATTTGTTGTGTGTTAGGTCTTTCAATCTGCATTGCAGGTACAGTTGAACTCACTTCTATTGAGGCAGACAATAAGGGTCTGGTGCTCATGCGACCCGTTTGTCTAGTATACGGGGTGGAAGCATGTTGCTTAAACATCGTATGGCGCATGGCTCCTTGATAGAAGAGGAGAGATTCCCCACCTCTCATCTTCTTGTATCCCAGTTTCATATTGACCCGAATAGTGAGTTTATTTGGTTAGAATTGATTGTTCCTTTCAACTTTATTTAAGTTTATTATGCTTACGATTACAATGATTTTGATGTTGGCGATTGGATTCCAATGGGGGGCATCCAAGTGAAGGAGGGAGGGGTTGCTGGGAGGGGGAGGGGGGGGTTGGGAGAGGCATGTCGATGGCAAAATATCACTTGGAGATATGTTTACTTTCTATGTGACCATTTGAACGCGCTGAGCGCACGTTCGTGTTCGAACGTCCGCGTTCAAACGGTCTTGGGCGGAGTTCATACCCATTCAAATGCGCTGCGCGCCACGTGGCGCGAATTTATCGAACGCGACCCACCCTCCCATATGAGCGCATGGTGGAGTACGGTTGGGGGGATTCAAATTTTCAAAAAAAAAAAAAAAAAAAAAGTGTAGCGGTGTATACCTCCATGTACTAGCAGTAGTAGTAGTAGTAGTAGTGGTATCGCAGAGTCAAAACATCCTTAGACGTCCAAACTGCAAATGAGAAGCATCTTTGAATGTTTACATTGCCAAATAGACAGAATTACAAGCTGAAATGCGTCCCCGACGCATTTCGATGGCAGCTGCCATTTCTTCAGGGGGTTTTCCGCCTTCTTCCCACACTAGTCGAACTCTCCACTCCAAACCTCTTCCGTCCTTCCCCGCGGTAGGTCTCCGGAGACCGCACGCAGGTCCGTCCGTCAGTCCTGTAGAACCACACACAATAGATGCAGATAGCTACTTCACACGAAAGGCTACAACCAAAACTGAAACTGGGTCAGTACCAGTGGTCCTACTTGTCAGTACCAGTACCGGACACACTGGGCCCAGTAGCTATTAACCGAAAACCGAAAAATACAGAACAACAAACCCGTTACACCTGGACAAAAACGTTCAACTACGACTAGCACAGCTTCGCTCAAGACGAGCCCAGATCTCATGGCCAAATTGTTATACCCTGTCCAAATTTTCTCACTAAAGTGTCTGGCTAAGCAAGAGAGCCCGCTATGTTGCATCATCTTCAGATCACCATTGATCCAAGCCTTAAAAAGCAAAACACAAATTATCGAAATTCACTCAACACCCACAAAGTAGTATGCTGTACTACTCCAGTTAGCAGCGCCCTGTTCAAATGTCAAAATCAAGAAAGGAACAAACTCCTACTGTACGAGATCTTGTAACAGGGTCAAGAAAGACTCCCTGCCTCCTACTAAAAAAACACAGCAACTTCCCAGGCTGTATCATTTCCCCAAATGCGCAGACGCACAGGTGGCTATTCCAAAAATCGAACTGTGTACTGCCAAATCCCCTCCTGTCTAACTGCGAGATGCTTAAGCACTTGATGGAAGAAAGGATCCGGAAAATCCTTCTTTGACAACTTTTTTTTCAGAGTGAGTACACGCAATGGAATCTCGGATCCGATCGTAGTATTACGATCGATTTGATGCAGATAACCACTGATCACAACACTTTTCTGTCTTTTGCATCCCCACGACAGGAAAGACTGTCCATTATGGATCCTCAAGGGTTGATCAGTCCATACGCACTCCTCGTTTTTCGACATCTGCACACAATTCAAAAAAGGAAAAAGCTTAGACGTCCGAATCTGGCAACCCAGGAAGTCAAAAGTTCCCCCTCCATCATTTGTCTGCTTCAGAGTAAGCGCCTCCGGGTAACAATCCTTGAAGCCCAGCAATAGTCGCTCCGCCAATTCTTGGTCTTTGGTCACAGGAACAACGATCACATCATCAACCAGGCGGTATCCAAACACGCAGAGTGCATACCTCCCCAGGCTACGGAGATACAGAAACTCGGAATAGGCACACAAGATAGCTGCCAAGGGGGGACTAGTGGTTTTCCCCATCGGAATCCCGATAACCTGCTGTAACAGCACCCCGGTCGCAAACGTGTAGGTGTGCTTCAATTCCAACTTAACGAAGGCTAATATGTCGGTGAGGTTCAACCTCCGCCGGTGGTCGCCACCCATTGTAATACCGAAGGAAGCACCTCTTCCTCTCGTGTTAACCCGAATGAACGACTGATCCTTGGATCGGTGGAAATCAACAAGCCACTCAACGGCGCGCAACACATTGACATGGGGGAGACGACTAAACATTTCCTTAATGTCAAACGAGTGGGAGGACACGTCATACCTTGTCCCCAAACGTAAAATCCGACTATTAGCAACGTGCAACTTCTGTGACAATTTTGATACCGACGGGAAGTTAAAGTGCCAAACCTGCGGAATAGTGGTCAACAAGTGGTTAAGGGTGCGAGACACGACCCTCCCCGTCTTGATCATGGGCTCTTTAAATGTGGGGCATATCGGCCTATATTTCCCCAAGTCTTTGTGCTTGGGAATAATATATGCCGATCCGAATGACCCAGACGCATCCCATTTCGCAAACTTACCCAGCCCGGCTTCTGTTACGTCCTCATGAACCTCTCTCAACGTCTCCTTCTCCAAAACCAACCGGATCCGGTATCCTGGGTTCTGGACAAAGGTGTTCATCATCCCGTCGAAGAACAAGGCAGGACACAAGACCAGTGTCTCCCCTGGGTTACGATCCAGGGGAGTAAGAACCAAGCCTTCGAAGCGAGACTTAACCTCGAGCACATGGTGCTCGTACAGTGCATCAACACTGGGTTCCGCCGGGGACAAACAGTCACGAAGTGAACTGATGGCAACCAATGGAGGCTTCTTACGACCGTTCCTCCAAGCATCAAACCGTGCGGCGATCTCTGTCTGTAGCTTAACCACCCGATCGCGATCCAAAATACGAGGAACATTCTTAGCATTCATCAGCAGGGGGAAAATACGGTCTAGCTGACTCAAACGGAAGCGGACGTCGCCTTCCTCCTGTGGGTAGGGCAAACCTGCGGAGCTGCAGGTGAGCACATTTCGAGTCGCAACATGCAATGGTTATGTACTATCTCCGCCGTGGATGGGTTCTTCAACCACACGATACGGACTTTCCTCCGGGTCCATTGCAAGTAACAAGACGGTAAGCCACACAACATCAGACCATCATTGACTACCTTACGTAACTCAGACAACTTAATATGTTCGTCAAATCTAATGCGAAAAACCAGGTCCGCTCCCATGCATATTTTGAAGCGGTCCCGGAAAATTCGGGAGATCAACCGTCGCAAGTATTTCCTGGTTGATTTTTGGGAGAAATCCTTAACTACATTGTACAACCTGAGGAGGGACCTCATACCCCAGCGGTACACCTCGTTGAGACGCAGCGCATTACGCAGGATCCTAATTAACACGCTTTTCAGATAACCGCTCCTCGGTTTCCATTTGCAATATGGATAAATTGAAAAATTCCCCCGCGCTCGAAGTCAGATTTACACTCCTTTAACCTTCGACAATGTGATCTGTTTCCAACTTTTGACTCACCGAAGTTCCTTACGGTACTCTTCCAACCGCCGCTCCAAACATTCCCAGCTTCAAACTCACACACGACGTCAGTCCGCCCGGTCTTCAGGCATTCGTCAAGCAAGCGGAACAGGTCAACGTTCCAAGATTCATTACGATTAAAGCGAATGCGGACGGGAATGAAGCTAGAGTTCCTAGTAGCCGATCCCACATCTTTCCTATGCAAGGCCACTCGTTCCTTCCGTCCCGGCTTACATTTCCCCTTCCCGGTAACCTTGGGATTCCCGACGGTATTAAAAAACAGAGTCCACTGCTGTATCCACAACCTCTCCAAACTACCCAGGTCAGTACCCTCGAGAACATCGACTAGGATAAGCACGTACTTCTCGATACCAAATGAGCAAATCCATCTATGAAAGTGGGATTGCCTACGCTTTCGACAAGCATATATGTGTTCACGCCATCTTATTAATGTGCTACGCGTGGTCATCCCTACGTACAAGGATTTATAATACGGTGAAGCATGAATGTATACACTGTTAGTCAATCTAAGGAAATCTAAACTGTGTTTATCATACAGACGCAACCAGCACTTCACGCACTTACCCAGCCAACAGATCCGTCCATCCAAAGTCAAACTTAGGATCACCAAACAAAGGAGCTCCTCTACTCTGGGGTCAAACACGTACGACTCCCTTCTCAACTCGGTTAGGTACTTGCAAAGCTTCCAAAGCTTCGGCGTCTCCAAGTGTTCTCAAGCCTCCACGTCGTCAGATGCGGTATCGTGCTCGGCGCCTCCTCCAAGTTCTTCCGATTCCTCAACGTAGATCACAACTGCAGGTCCCTGTGCTGATGTCCCGAATCTAGCCAACACCTTGATATCGACAATATCGAGTATTGCCTCGATTTTCCCATTGTAGGGTATTTCTTCAGACTTACATTGCTTCTGTAGTTCGATGACATCGAGCGCTTTCAGGTCATCAATCATCTTGTTTCGATATCGTAATCGCTCTAGGGCCCCACGCGTAACAGGTGTGTACGGGGGCATCAGTGGCGGGGTTACTCGAACAGTCTTAGGCGTCTTCGGTGTCTTCCGCACGGACATTGGCGTCTTCACTGGCGATCGAACCATTGGTGGTCGCCCGGGTGTCTTCCTCAGCTGCATAGTGCCTGTCGGTCTCCGTGCTTTCACCCGGGTCATGCGAGCCGTAAGCTTGACCGGTTTTAATATCCCCTGCTTAGGCGTACACTTGGACGGCTTCTCCATAGGAGGGTTGTCCTCGATCACAACTTCAGGTCCCCGTTTCCGCTTTTCGGAGATATGCAGCTTCGCGGTATGTTCGCTTAGTTCCTGTGTGACGCTCGTGTCACTCGCTTCACTCTCATCGCCAAACTCCTGTCTTGACGTATATAACACCTTCTTCTTGCCTTTCCGGTCTGCCGTAGAGTATAGCGGCCCAATCAGGCTATGCAGCCTCTGGAACCAACTATCCTCCATCTCATTTAGCCGGATTGCAACCGAGATCTCAACGTCCTTCTTTCATCTGCGCACGTCGCTCCTTTTCAGCTTCGGCTGCTTTCTTCTGCTCTTTAGCACGCTTGCGAGCTTTCTCCGCGGCACGTGTTTCCTTCTACTCATTTCTCATCCTCTCGGCTTCTTCACGTTCATCTCCCTCCTTCTTCTCTTGTTTCTTTCGCTCCTTCTCCTCCTTCTTCCGATTTTGTAGCTCAACGTGCTCGTTCATGGCAGATACCGACGTGCTTAACTTCATCACCGTCGACCGTATCTCCAGGTCCCTCTCCGGTGACTCCCTCCTCCTCCGTGAATCATACCTCCTTCGCGATCGGGACCCTCGGGAATCCACTAAAGTCGAAGGTCTCGCTTGGTGATGCTGCCTCGGAGCACGATTGGGGCACTGATTCGCATAGTGCCCCACTTCGTTGCATGCAAAACATGTTGGAGGCCTATATTGCCTCCGGTCCTCATGGCCCCCACCACCAGCTGGCCCTTCGTCTCGCTGGTCGACGTTCGACATCACGGGAAATCCTCTTGCAGTTCCACCGGATGTTGCTACCGCCACTCCTCCTTTGTACGTCTTCAATAGTAACGGTCACATGTGAGTAAACACGCTCACCCTACCCGGCTGACTTGGACCCCAAGCAAGTTAACGTGCGCAGTACATGGTAGTAGTGGTATCGCAGAGTCAAAACATCATTAGACATCCAAACTGCAAATGAAAAACATCTTTGAATGTTTACATCGCCAAATAGAAAGAATTACAAGCTGGAATGCGTCCCCGATGCGTTTCGATGGCCGCCGCCATCTCTTCAGGGGGTTTCCCGCCTCCTTCCCACACTAGTCGAACTCTCCACTCCAACCCTCTTCCGTCCTTCCCCGCGGCAGGTCTCCGGAGACTGCACGCAGGTCCGTCCGTCAGTCCTGTAGAACCACACACAATAGATGCAGATATAGTCAAGCTAGTTCACACGAAAGGCTACAACCAAAACTGAAACTGGGTCAGTACTAGTGGTCCTACTTGTCAGTACCAGTACCGGACACACTGGGCCCAGTAGCTACTAACCGAAAACCGAAAAATACAGAACAACAAACCCGTTTACACCTGGACGAAAACGTCCAACTACGACTAGTACAGAACAACGAACCCCTTTACTAGCAGTAGATTCATTCGATTTTGCTAATCAGATTGATAGAAGTACCATGAGGTCGGTCGCGATGTTGGAGACTTACCTCCTCTTGGAGCTCTCCTCTCTCTCACACACACACACACATACACACACACACACACAAACACAAATAAAAAAAACAGAAAGAAAAAAAAGTATGGCAGTGTATATTTCCACGTTGTAGCGGTATATTCATTCGAATTTGCTCATCACATCAATGGAAGTGCCATGAGGTGAGCCGCACGGTTGGAGGCTTACCTCCTCTCTCTCTCTCTCTCTCATACACACACACACACACACACACATGCGGCCCCCAACCCACCCCCCTGCGCCAAAACCCACCTGCACAAACCCGTCAAACTCGTTTACCTGCGTTCAGTGAACGCGCGTTCACCGCATTGAAATCCTGAACGTGAAACACGCGTTCAGTGAACAAGCGGTAACACAATATACTTTCATTGCCGTTCTTGCCGTAACTTCACTGCTACCTCCTCTTGACATTAATTCCCTCCTCTTGCTTTTTTCCTTACTTTCTCGCGACAGGCACCGGTGTTTTTATTTTTTTCCTTGCCCAATAACTGACGACATCACTTCTTTCCACCTTTCAGAAGCTGCCCCTTATCTAATTTTTCTTCTTGCGTCTTTCTTGCTTCTCACACGCCTTTCTACTGTTTCCTCATTGATAAAATCCTTTGTTTACCTCTTCTCCACCTTCAAACTATTTCCTTCCTCCTACAAAAACCACTTCAATCTTCTTCCCCGACTATCTATCAAACTCTTTATATACCTCTCTGATCTCATTTGGCGATGACTTCCTTAGTTCAAGTCTGAGGGATTGAATGTGACAGTGATCGTTTCAATAGTCTGCTTTGTTGCTGATCGTTGCCGTGAATTCTAAACGTGTGAAAAAATCCTTTGCCACGTCAATACTCCCCCCCCCCCCCCCCCCCCCAAAGTGGTTGTCGTCTGTCTGTTCTTCACTCGCTAACCATCAACCGTTTCACCGACCGTTCTTCTCTCATTTGGCGATGGCCTCTCTCGTCCTTCTCCCACTTTCAGACTTCAAAACCTGAAGGATTGAATGTGACATGTGTAGATGTTAACCTTGGATTATTTCTATTCCTAACTCCGAGCTGGCCATTTTGTAATCACCGACAATGAGGTCATCTCGGAAACGAGCACCCTTCTAGTACATATAACTATCTTTACAGCGCTTACCTTCTCTCTTTAACTCAAAAAGATGCAGTGTGACCTCCCTACCTCTCCTCCTTGCAGAGCCACCTCAGCAGTATGTGGGGAAAGACCCCCCCCTTTTTTTTTAATATATATCTAGTGGTGACTTGCCATCCCGTGCTTACCCCCCCAACCCTACATTCGTCCACTTATCACTTTTCAGTGATTGAGACCTCCACCCCTAGGTTACCACCTTGGCCTGAGGAAAAGACACGCGACATCCACATATAACTCACTATCCTCCCCGTTGTGTAGCAATCCAATAATTGTCCCTCCCTTTCCTCCAATGTGAATCACTTGTTACCAGACTTGTCTGTTCGCTGCACCAATCTTTATAGTAATGACTTGCCTTACCTTTCTCCCTTTTTTTCCAACTCCTCATTTTCCCTCTCCTATCCCTTACTCCATGCTTACCCCACACAACCCTAATTTCTTCCACTTATCACCAGTAAGTGTGTGAATTTTCCATCCATATGTAAACACCTTGTTAGCTTGGCTGCTTGAGTAAAATACGGACGACTTCCCCTGACGACCAGATACCAGGTAATGAAAATCGTTTTCCCCCTGCCGTTGTATAATCGTCGCTTCCCTCCTCGCGTTGTGTAAAGGTCTCTTACTTCACCGATGTCAATCAGATCTTGCCCTTATTATCTTGTCGTTGTTGACTTGTCCGAGCGTTGCGCTACTTCAACGAACTTAATTAAGATGTAGTATTATCTTGCTCGACCTCCTATTGAGTATTTTAGCAGTCAACCTTCCTTTTTGCACTCCGGCGAATTCTACAGCCAACCAGGTAGGCACTGTATATCACTTTCTCCCTTCTCTGTAAAGAAATACAACAATAATCCCCCACTTAACTACGATTTGAATCCCTTGTCGCCCGTATTATTTTGCTGATGCTGACCTGTTAAACATTGTACGCCACCTACTGGGAGAAGACAGTTGTCTTGAGCATTTTAACGATCGTCACTATATTATCACCACAACTCATCACTCCTTTATACCTTCCCTTACACCATGTGAACGTGGAAAGGGGTGAGAATCCTAGTATAAGGACAACTCAAAATGCCTTGTTTGTTCTTCCACAACCCTCGTGAATCATTTTATAGAACTGTTTCTCTATCTCAGACAATGTTGACCAATCCGCTATTGTACCTGTGACTACGGTTAGTTGTGTCTTCGATCCCTCCTTTCTTCATATCCTCATCTTGTGGCCAGATGTCATGGAAGAAGATTCCCCCGCGACAACAAGACTACCAATGCAACGCAAGATCCACACACTTTGGCATTGACTGGGGGCTGCCTCCGCTGAAGTTCACTTGCTATGTTAATAGCAATGAGCTACTTCCTTTGCCAAAACAAACGTTTACCGCCTAGAGAAAGGACAGTGGCTATGGTCTTACTACACGAAACATGAATGTAGCCTCGGAATAATCCAGCGACTTGTGCATTCCACGCCAGCCTGTAATGTGGAAACACCCAACGCCTCAAGTTGCCACGCGTGCGCTAAGTGTCCAGATATATTATATGTCATGATCATTGTGATAGTCTCATTCACCCGTTTTCTATGTTGCTTCAACCCATCCGTACTCAGAGCAAAGATGTTAACACTACTAGTTGACGAATTTATTGTGCTGGATAGCAGAAAGAAAGCTTATCCTCTCTCGGCACAAGGCCTCCAGGAGGCCAGGGAAGGGCTGTCACTTACCGGACACCAAACGGTGTGAAGAGCAAACTTTAGAAACCCAGTAGCTCACATGAGGATAGACTTGAGCGGTTTCAAGCTTGATTGGATATGAACGGGTTTGTAGGTACAGGCTTAGTAAAAAGCCCGTAATCCAATGCCTCTTAACGGTTTTGCACCCGATCATACTTCCACGAGTCACTTTCTGTATCACTATCGAATTCCGCTATACAAACTTACGGAAGGTATGGAAGTCGACTCCTCATTCCAACAAGAAATGGATTAACGGCATGCCACTCGGGGATAGATAAGATAGATGGGAACGAGAACATCACCCTAGTATATGTCAGAGCGGCAGAAGTGACCTAAGTCGCGTTAGAACTAGACCTTCCCATTCGATTTTCAGCTTTTTTTACTACCCGAAACCCGAGCTTGTGCACTTCCCCCTTCCTCAATACGCGACAGGAATGTAGGGGACGTTGGTTTTGTGCTAAAAAAAACGATTGGTAATAAACTATTTAAAGTAAAGTATATAACTAAAGCATGCGTGTGCTTTTATATCTATTTGTTGCCACGATAGATAAATCTCAGACAAGCGGCCGAAACCAAAGCAAAAAACTCACTTGTAGGGGTGATCCCAAGACACAGTCATTACATATTGCACTCTGAGGTGAGGTGGAGACTAACTTAAAGAGCAACAAAACGACCGTTCCCAACTCAATATTATGAATGGAACTTTCACCCGACCTAAGTCACGTTCTACAGAGCAGATCGTCGCGTACGCACTATATATGTGGGCTACAGGAGAGACGTACGACAACAACACATCATCTTTCGGCATAGGCAAAGCTTCCACATTTCTCATCGGGCACGATGTGACATCCGCTATGTTGACGGTCTACTCGGACAAGATATCCTGGTCGACGGGGGTGTGGAAACACGTCGTGCTGCTAGCGTTTTTGGAGAAGGGC